AAATTAAAGGGCGCGCGAGGGAGCGCGCTGGGCCGGAGGGACGGCTCGGTGACCCCGCCCCGCCGGCCAAGGCTGGGGGAGAAGACCTCGTTCGGCTCTGCGCAGCCTGGAGGCCGAGCTGCACGTGGTGCTGGGGCTGGGGGAGCAGTAAAGCTCCGTAATAGCGCGGCTCCGGGGATTAATGGAAAGTAAACCTTTACTTGGCCTGTAGGTTTCCGAGGGTGAACATTGGTCTTTATTGTATTCACGGTTGTAGGTTCTTAACAAATGTCTGGACACAGTAAATGAACGCATAGAATTAACTCTTTATTCTATTAATAGAACAGGGGAAAATAATCTCTCAAAATGACATCCTTAAACAAATGTAGCAACCTCCGACCCTGGACTATATGTCATGATCTGTAGGATGTAACTTGTTTTGTAAATTTAAAGCCTACAGATTTACGTAACAGGGGAGAATATATTTGTGATCACGTTAGTTGTGTAAATGACCTGAGTTAGATTTTGATCACTTTCGTGCACAGTGATTCTCCAGTATCAGACCTTGGGAGATGGGAGTGGTGCTCACCAGTTCTTGCAAAATGACTACCACATTTTTACGTTTTGTTTTATTGGTGCTGGAGACTGAACCCAAGGCCGTGTGAACTTGTCCCAACTATCATATTAATTCAAAATTGTCATGAGAACAAGGTCCTTCAACGCTGTGAAGTTTAAATTTTGCCGAAAATATTTGGTTAGCACAGTAGTGCTTCAAGAATGTTTTATTTATTGATTTATTTTATTTTATTTTATTTTAGTACAGGGGTTGAACTCAGGTCCTTGCGCTTGCAAGGCAGGCAGAGGAACCACTGAGCTAAATCCCTGGCCCCAAAGAATGTTTTAATAAATTAGACATTTTTTTTCACAATGGCCTGTTGTGTAGTGGTGCCTTGCACTGATTATTTGCTCAGCTCGCCCTTTCTTTATAAATAAATGTAGAGGTAAGCGATCTTGGTCAGAAAAATCACAAATACTGAATTAACTAAACAGAAATTGAATACATTTTATTGATATTTTGTTTCTTGTGTGTTTTGTCCTGGCCTAAGATACAAAAGTCTCAAAGTAGCCCAGAAAACAAATCTTTCCCTTATTCTCTTCTCTCCTTCAACAGGGTTGTTTTTTTTTTTTTTTTTTTTTTTTTTAAGGAAGTGATAAATAGGACAAAATAGCTTATTAGTCAAGTTATGGAGAAAAGGTGGAACCATTTGCTTTGCATATTAGCAAGTTCATCTGTAAACTTAGTTTTCACTTTTGGACTGTGGCCCTCAGAACTTGGAATTCCCTCATCTCTAATATCAGAACTGTCAGATCCAGTGGAACAGTCTTGCCCTGTACAGCGGTCTCTCCAGCTCTCCACAGAAAGTGCCTGCAGAAACAGGGAGCTATGAGGATAGTTGGAGCCACAGGGCCTGATGTGTCTGCTTGGTCTGAGAACTGTCACAGTTGGCTTGTTGAGACCAGTATTTGTTCAGATTTTGCTGGTCTTTTTGGTCCCATAAGATACTGGGACATGTCTTTCAGCCATCCTGAGAGGATGATTCCAATAAACCTAATAATCTGAAAAAACAAAACAAAACAAAGTCAACTTTCTTGACAAAGTGCTGTTACTAGTAAGTAGCTCAGTGTTGCTGTCTGAAGTGTCAGAAAACCTGCGGGAGGTAAGAGAGGGGACAAATCAGCACTGAACAGCAGCAGCATCTTAGAATAAGTCCTTTTCATTTAGATTAAATTGAGCAGTTTTGCTTTCCATTTGCCCTTAACAGTTTCTGGGGATTTTTAAACTCACAAAATAAAACTGGGAACTGGGACACCGGGATACTCAGAGAGGAGCAAGTGGGAGGCAGGTGGCATTGAATCCACCT